CCACCGGGTGGAGGGCGCTGCGCGCAAAACCGCATGCCAGAAACTCCTCCAGGGACCACAGGTCTGCAATGCCGGACATGGTGGCCTCTGCAGCCGGGCATCTGGCACCGGCTCTACTAGTGAACCTCACCTTATCATCAATCTGGATGGAGATGGGCACTCGGGGGTGGTCCCTGAGCTTTGTGCGCCGCCATTCGCCCTTGGAGTAGATGTGATGACTGAGCCTGATCGGCGTGGGCCCATCACTGCAGCTATGCATCCCCAAGGTGCGGGGTCGGTGCCTGTCTCTGCGGCATCCATTAGAGCAGACGCCTGACGTGACGGATGAGACCTGCGATATCACGTCATGGCCTACAGCAGCCTGTTGTCCGTCAAGGTGTGGCTGGTGCCGTGCCCGTCACTTCCGGGCCCGGAAGCAGTCTGCACACATTCAATGAGGCGTGGTGTTCCAACCCCGAGATCCCTCAGAAAAGACACAGAAAGACACTTAACAATCAGGGCATATAGCCCTAGCAGACCTGTCTGGTGGGGCCAGAGAGGTAGCAGGCTCAGATGGTGGCATAGCTTGTCTGCGCATGAACGAGAACATAGCTGGCAGGCTGGAGGAGGGGAGGGCGTTGCGAGCCATTTCTCTGATCTCCACCAGTGCTATAATATTATTCACAGACTTACACAGAACATCATGAGTCCCAAACATGTCCCTCCATATATCAGAGTCATTAATCCCATAAGACGTTTTACAGCCTCCTCCTCTCCAGCAGAAAACCCTTTATCTCCTACGCCAAACTGTCCTGCCAGCGTATCCACTGTCCCACATTATTTAAAAAAAAATCACCCTGCCCTCCAACCTCCTCCCCCACCTCAATATCCTTAGACAGGGTACCAACTTTCATACCACTCCTCAACACTAGAGAGAGACTCATTAGTAATGTTCATTACCCATACAGGGAGCTGCCCTTGGTTGACCCTACACACTATTCTTGCGACCAATAGGTTGCAGTGTTTTGACAAAGAACTCACAGGCTCCAACATTCCAGCTGGACAATCACCCCATTTACTCTGGACCTGCCCTGCAATTATGGTCTCGCTGCGTGGAGGAACCACGGTATCTGATTGCACCACTACCACTTGTGGGTCCGTCGTTGGTACTAAACTACAGAGGGGAAGTACCTTTCCCATGACCCGACAGGTTTTCATACCAAAATCAACCACAGCCCCGTACTTTGATAGAAAATCAAAGCCCAACAATATTTCCTCCGAAGGGATATCAGAAACCAAAAATACCACCACCAGGACAAGAGTGTCAAACTGGCATACTGTCTGTCAGCATCCTATAATGCGCATTCCACTCCCATTGGCTGCTATGGCCTTCCCATCATAGGCTTTTGGTTTCTCTCTCCCTTCTGTGAAAGCAAGCCACACACTTCTTGGGATTACTGAGCAGGATGCCCCTGTATCCACCAAAACATAGCAGTCACACCCACCTATTTTAGCTTTAAGATATCCAGATTTATCCTTTGGCACAACCTGGGCCTTCATGGACAGAGAAAAGGGGGCGGGCATTTGGCCCTCTGTACACGCCCCCTCTAGTTTTCCCTGAACATACGGGCAATCACGTCATAGGTGACGATCACACCCACACTCCCAACAGCCTCCCTGTCCGCCGCGACGGTCCCTAGTGGGCAAATTTCTACCACTGGACTTTGCACTCCTATTGGGGCCAATAGACAAAACACCAGGCATCATTGGAGCCGAAAGGGCTCGCACCGCACCTTGCAAAGATTGTACCTCCTGCCTCAAACCCTCCACCAATCCAAGCAGAACATCCTCTTGCTCCTCTTTAACTACCCGCCCAGCAACCCTGCACACTTTAGCGTCAACTAAGGAGTTGTCCTCTAATCCCCTGATAAGCTCCAGTTCTGCAGCCAAGTTAATAACGGCATCAAGTGTGTTGGTTTTGGCGCTCCGCAAACTGACCCTTAGGTCCCCACAGCCCACGTGTGTTATAAAATGATCCTTAGTCAAGAGTTCTCGGGTTTCAGGGTCTGGTGACGGATAAGCTTTAAGAGCTAAACGCCAAAGCACCAACCCAAACTCTCGGATATGTTCATTATGCAACCTCCTATGGGCGGCGAAAGTATCTCTATTCCAGTCTTTGCTATCACATGGGTTTAGACACTTACTCATAGCTGCTTTCAGTAAAGCATAATCCTTTTCTATCGCATCTGACAGCCCACTATAAACTACTCGAGCACTACCAGAGAAGAGCAAACACATAAACTTTAGTCTTGGTGGCTCGTCCCAGTTATTAACATCAGCTGCCATTTCAAATTGCTCCGCCCAATCAGCCCATTCACGCCCTATGCCAGAAAAAACTTTCGGGGGTTAAAACTGGCCGAGCTGATGTTGGCTGACTAACAGCCTGTACCGAGGGGGCAGGTAAGTTATTTTCAGGCTCTGACATTTCTAGCAGATCCCACTTCTGACACCAGTGCAATATTATTGTGGGTCTGCTATGGACAGAAGTCTTGTCCTTGTCAGAACCTTCCAATAACCACCAGACACTAGTGCACAATAGTGATTCTTTATTTAAAGACACACAATTATCATGCTGCAACAAGCACCAAAAACTATCCCTCCCTGCTAAAACACCCCCATATAAAATAAGCAGCACACTTATCTAGTCAGTTTGTTGCGACCCTCTCCCGGGGTCAAAGCTCCAATGCCGTCCAATGCCCTGGGATCTAACGTCGTTGGCTGCTGTTGAATCCTTCGACCTGGTGATCGCTGGACAGTAAACGTCTGGGGAGTCGTCGCTGCTGGCTGCGGCGCCCTCTATGTCCCGGTCCTGGCTAACTACAGGAGGCGGCTGGCCTCCCCTCCTCTCACCGGAACGCCTCTCCTCTCACTGGCTGTCTTTGCAGCTGGTAGCCCTAAACAGCTGCGATCAGCACCCACCCCCCGTCACCAGGGCTCCGCGTCCGCTCAGGCAGTCCGACTGTTCTCCCAACCACGAGCCTTCCCCTCCCCAGTCTCTTTACCTCTTCCCGTGTCCTCATCAGTGCGCTAATACATCACACCTGGCCCTCGAAGGTTAACTCCGCCCTCTTCACACCATATTACTTTGCATTATTTTACCATCTTTGTAGCCCCTAGAGATAGCCAAAGCTAATGCTAGCTGAGCAGAAGCCAAAGAGCCAAACACCAATTTGCTGCTTTAGTTTAGTTCTGAAAATTGACTAAGTCATTGCACTCAATATAAAACATCATCATAATATGAGAAGAAAAATAAATGGTTCTTACATTGTTATACCGCTGTGTAGCTTTTCCTGCAAGGTCTGGAGTGGGAAGATCCGCACGATAAAAACCAATCTACCTACCTGTCGTTCGAAATTCCTCATGGGTATTGAAGTTTCTTCCGGCTCTTGTTTAGAGGAACTTCCGGTTCTTTCTCAATAAAACATTATGCGATCAGATTTGTGTTTACTGAAAAAAGGTATATCTTTAAGCGATCTCAAAGCGATTTCCCACACGTTACTTCTTTATTTAAAATAATCACTTTGTTTTAAACTTGATGGTAAAATCACAGCATTAATTTAGGGAAGCAGGACAAAATATAATTGAAGTCCATAACTAAATAAATATTACATAATCATAATTAAAACCAATAAAACAGCCAAGTTGCGCTTAAAAGATGAAGCAAAATAAAAACTAAGGATAAAGTCGTTTGTTGATTTAATGGTTAAAGGCTAGGCACGGCAGTTCTAAATGTAAAAAAAAGACGTGCTGGGGTGACACTTTATAGACCCGTGCATTTCAATGAAACCGAAATGCGTTTTGAGATGCACGAAAAAAGAGGTATGCGTGTCCACAAGCACAAAATGTTTGATTACAGAACATGAATATGTCACGTAATTCCGACCAACACAACCCTACTACATCCAGAACCTTAAGGAACTCTGGGTGGAACTTATCCACCCCTGGAGCCCTGTCACCGGGATTTCTGAGCACCTCAGTGACCTTAGCAACAGAGATTGGCGAGCCCAACCCAAAGTCCACAGACTCTGCTTCCTTACTGGAAGAAGTGCTGGTGGAACTGAGGAAGTCTTCGAAGTTCTCTGCCCACCGATCCACAACGTCCCAAGTAGAGGTCAGCAGCACACCATCCCCACTAGTGTTGGTAGCGCACTGCTTTCTCCTCCTGAGGCATTGGATGGTGGACCAGAATCTCCTCAAAGCCTACTTGCTCTATGGTCTCACTGAACTCCTCCCATGCCCGCGTATCTGCCTCTGTGACCACCCGGGCTGCATTCCACTTGGACAGCCGGTACCAATCAGCTGCCTCTGGAGTCCCACAGGCCATAAAGACCCAATTGGACTCCTTCAGCTTGACAACATCCCTAACTGTCACTGTCGGGTTGAGGGATTGACACCACGACAGGCACCAACGACCCTGCGGCCGCAGCTTCAGTTGGCCGCATTGAAAATGGTAACATGGAACATGGCTAACTCGAACTCAATGTCCCCCTCTCAGAACATTTTGGAAGTGCTGTCTGTCAGAGGTGGGATTTGAAACTTCTTCTGACAGAAGACTCTGCCAGACATTCCTAGCAGACAATGCATTTGGGCCTGCCAGGTCTGACGGGTATCCTCGTCCACCATTGAAGCCAACTCACCACCAGGTGAGTTATTCACAGTCATAACTTCTCTACCAACAGCACCGCCTGCTGGCCACAGGTTGTCATGACCCTGCTGGCTAACCTTTACTATTTCTAGGTTTTGCAGTAACACCTCTGTCCCCAGTAACAATGATCGCTGTTTGTGCATCAACTTCACTTCAGTTATTCAATAAAATGTAAATATTTTAAATGAGCTGCAGTCAAGAACCGCTGGTTTGAAGCTGAAGGGATTTTATAATCAATACACGAACTTTCATCCACAAATGAGAAAAGGTAGAACAAACACAGGGAGTGAGCTGGACTTTGGTGTTAAACTACATC